CCTTTGGAATTCATGTCACCTCCAAACAGCTGCGAAACTTCTAGTATGGAGTCACTCGCCCATAGATCTACCTGGAGACCAGTACTCTCGATCTGGATGACCTCCAACATCGAGCAGCTCCGACAACGTCGCCACGGTCTAGGACATCATCTTCACCACAGTCGCCAAGGCGCGGGTTGATGGTATGGACCGGAACCTGGAATGGAAAGACCAATATTTTCTTCGTGGACCCCGGACTGAAGGTGAGCGCTGGCGGTTACATCGAGCAACTCGTGAAGAATATCCTCCTCACATGTCGTCGCCCGTACCTTCTTGGAAACTTTGTACTGCTACAGCATTGGGTGCCACCACATGGAATCGAAGGGCATTGGAGAAACTCTCGCCTACTTGGAATGGAAGGGGGCTGAGTACCTAAAGAAGATGGAATATCCAAGTAGGTCACCTGACCTGAATCCCCTCAATTACCCGGTTCGAGCGGAGTTCAATAGGGTGGTCTACGGTGGCGGAGAAATCAACTAACTCGCTGACCTCAGGCACCACATCGCGGTCGCGTGCCAGAATCTCTCAATGCGCTCGTCCAGAAGGCTGTGGTGGAGTGTAGTGATCATTTACTTTTCACGCCACCATATTTAAAGAGCTTTAATATCTCTTTTTATATGGTGGTGTGGAAAATATCCGATCAGCATTTATAAGGTATAACTTTTTTTTTTTTTTTTTTTTTTATTTAAGTAACTTTATAAAACTCGAAAATCAATGCAGAAAAGTGACTTTTTTGGCCCGCCTCCCTGGACTCTTGATAGGGATCGAGATACTTCAAAACCGTGCTGTATCTCTTCTTATCACTTTCTGTGGGAAATGCTGTGGACTCCAATACACTTGAAGGCAGAAGGCAGTTGGCACGATAATCCGAAACTGTCTAAAATGGTTGCGAGAGTGCTAGGTAGTGAGAGAATGAGCGAAAATAAGCGAGTGCGAAACGGTCGGGGAACCTGCTGAAAAAGCCTCTACATGACTCACCAAGCAATTTCGTACGAGTTCCCCATTGGTATCATGCCAATAATCGCTGCGGTAGATACGGCAGCATATACGTACTCGTATATCCATGCAGCACCGCAGCTGCTTCATGTCAATCCTTTCGCCACAAACTGCACTTCGCAAATGAAGCGATACGAGCACCAGGATCGGTCGGACATTTGTGGGTGGGGGCGCGGTGGGCGCTTTTCCAAGCGTCGGCATGTTGGCAGCTTAAAGCGCGCTATAATGGTAACCTTCCTTGCAAAAGGGCTATCCAGCACCTGCTCGAAGGCGCGGAATCCTGTCCTGTCAGAGGCGCGGGAATCCCGTCCTGCTGGGCGTATTAGTCCTTACATCTTAGAGATTTATCGTTGCAACTGCCTTCAAGTTTGCATATTTATGCGAGTGAGTGTTTATTTATATTTATTTATTTATTTATATTGATATTTATTTGGTTATTTATTGTTCATGCAGGCATGATCGCTTACAATGTCATCGTTATACATCGGGTTATAGAATGAAAAACGTCACAAAAAAATGTCCACGCAGGGAGCTCTGGGGACATCCGTTGCTGGAATCAGCGCTTTCTCCTTTCCAACTGGTCTGGTGAAAGAAATTTTGAATGGGTAAGCCCATGGTATACCCAAGCAGTGTTCAGTACATTTATGTGCAAAGTAGAGCCACAAGCTCTTAATACTTCCTATCACTTGTGTTGTGTACACGCAATAATTTTCATATTCATGATCCTTAATCCAGTATTCGTTCCATGAAAAATTTGAAGTTTATTGTCACAAATGGAGCTCCTAGCCTCGAACCCGACTTTTTAGAAAAAGAAGAAAGCGCAGGTGTCTTGTTCATAACCTCGACAAGTGGAAGCGGATGAAAGATAAAGCATAGCGCACAAAGAAAAGCAGCAGATTCCAGTCCTGTAGTATCAAATCGTCAGTTACATCAGTTTGACATAGGACTGGTGCCGTTTGGACGCGCTCAGTTTTGGCTGTTTTCTCATATGTAAAGTACCTAGCTCACCAAATCCGTAGAAAATTTGCATACAGGGAGGGGTATTTAAATCACTGATTCCGATATGACATCCATCTTTTGGCGCTTGGGGGCTAATGGAGGGACACTGCGCTCCTTCACTTTCGAGTTTATGACAGACACCTGCGCTTTCTTCTTTTTCTAAAAAGTCGGGTTCGAGGCTAGGAGCTCCATTTGTGACAATAAACTTCAAATTTTTCATGGAACGAATACTGATTAAGGATGAAATATGAAATTATGCTGTACACAACACAAGTGAAGGAAGTGCAGTGCTTGGTGGCTCTACTTTGCACCTACATGTACTGGTGCTTGGGTAACCATGGGCTTACCCATTCGAAATTTCTTTCACCGGACCAGTTGGAAAGGAGAAAGCCCTGATTCCAGCAACGGATGTCCCCAGAGCTCCCTGCATGGACGAAATTTTTTTAAGTCGTATTTTTCATTCTATAACCCGATGTATATCGATGACAGTGTAACGTACTTATGCGTGCATTATAAATAAATAAACAAATACAAACAAATATACAAATAAATATAAATAAATATAAATAAACACTCACTCGCATAAATATGCAAACTTGAAGGCAGTTGCAACGATAAATCTCTAAGATGTAAGGACTAATACGCCCAGCAGGACGGGATTCCGCGCCTCTGAGCAGGTGTTGGATAGCGCCCTTTTCAAGGAAGGCCATTATAGCGCCCTATCAAGCTGCAACATACCGACCCGGACGCCCACCGCGCCCGCCCGCCCACAAATGTCCGACCGATCCTGATGCTCGTATCGCTTCATTTGCGAAGTACAGTATGAAGCGAAGGGATTGATATGAAGCGGCTGCGGTGCTGCATGGATATATGAGTACATACATGCAGCCGTATCTACCGTAGCGGTTATTGGCACGATGCCAATGGGAAACTCGTCCGAAATTGCTTTCTGAGTCGTGTAGAACAAAGGCTTTTTCAGCAGGTTTTTGACCGTTTCACCTTCGCTTTTTCGTCACTCTCCCACTACCTAGCACTCTCGCAACCATTTTAGACAGTTTAGATTATCGTGCCAACTGCCTTCTGCCTTGAAGTGTATTGGAGTCTACGGCATTTCCCACAGAAAGAGATAAGAAGAGATCACAGCACGGTTTTGAAGTATCTCGATCCTATCAAGACTACAGGGGAGGGGGCCAAAAAAGTCACTTTTCTTCATTGACTTTCGAGGCGCTATAAGTTACACTTTATTAAATTCTGATCGGACATTTTTACCACCATATTGAAAGAGCATATTAAATACTATCATGACACTCCGCCACAGCCTTCTGGACGAGCGCCATCGAGAGATTCTGGCACGCGACCGCGATGTGGTGCCTGAGATCAGCGAGATAGTCGATTTCTCCGCCACCGTAGACCACCCTATTGAACTCCGCCCGAACCGGGTAGAGGGGATTCAGGTCAGGTGACCTACTTGGATATTCCATCTTCTTTAGGTACTCAGCCCCCTTCCATTCCAAGTAGGCGAGAGTTTCTCCAACGCCCTTCGATTCCATGTGG